ATGGTTGGTCGCAACTCAGTAAGGCTCGTTTCCGGAAGGATACTTTGGGAATTGTTGGAACACCTAGGGTTGAATAGGGTAATTTCATTTTTTGCACCTTTACGAAGTGCGACTGGAAGATGATAGGAACTTGCAAGAGGACCACGGCTTGCAGTTAGAAAAGTATGGAGCCATTTGCAGCGACCCTGAAAGACTAGAATGTTTACAAGAAATTATTGCTTACACAGGACTTGCACAACACGTTGGGGCTGATTCGGAATCCGAAAAAAAGAATAATTACGACATTTAATTGCCTTTCTGAGAGTTTGTCCGTAAAATCGACGTTGGCTCTGAATAGGGTAGAAAAGTGCTGCGAATTCAGTTGGTGCATACACGAATAATTTGAAAAACTTTATGCAGTACTTGAAAAAAATGTATTGCATCTTTTGAAAACGCCAAATTACATAACTTTGGGAAAGCTAAATGGACTAAATTTTAAACTTTTCCATAGTTGCTTGTACCCGCCAAGATGATTCTTCCTTTAAAGTAATATAACGATTGTGCGGGATTGAAGTAAAACTACATCTGATGGGATTGCTTCGCGAGAATTTTTTGACTTAAATGCAGAGAATTTTAAGATGCAGTAGGGAAGTAAAATTGATTCAATAAAATAAGTAATCTTGCCTTTTTATGTTTTGGACACTAAAATTTTGTTCATTGATTTTTTTAGTGAGTATTAAAACTGCAATGGAAAAAAATCTTTCTAAAGACGGTAATGCTGCAAATTGCTTGGTTAAAAGAATCCTGAGAGGCACTACTTTTTAAAAATTAGAGCCTTTCAAAAATTTTCACTTTTTAAAAGTTTAATATTTAGGTTGCAATTACTTCTCTAATACTAGTGCGGCTTAAATAAACAGTTAGTAAAGCAACCTGGTTATTTTAGAGTGTCAAAAATGAATTTAATGCGCAGCGGATTGGTTACGAAGAAACGCAACATAATTTTGGCAGCGTTAACGCAAGTCTTACCCATGTAATTCTTATGCTCTTTTTTATTTAACCATGGCTTTATTCCAATAAACTAGTGACGCTGTAACTGAAAAAGCTTTTCAGGCTGTCCAGGATCTAGAGCGTAAGCTTTCTGAAGTCAGCCAAAAGTATGAAGCTAAAAAAATCGAGTTTGAAAATGCAAAAGAAGTTTTGAACAGCTTTGAGGTACGAAACGGTGGCCTTGATGAGGATCCAGTTAATATTATTGAAGTAAGCGAAATTGTTTATTCAGCGACATCGTTCTTACTTTTCAAAGCGGATGAACATAAAGATATCGACGCAAGAAAGAATACTTCTTAGGTCTTATGAATGTCTTCTTAAAACGGCAGTTATTTGGTTTTTTGTCTACAGTTTTACTTGAGGAGACTATGGAATAATGAGGCAGAACTTCTTAAATTTTATTTTTAAGAAACAACAAATTTCAAACATATCAAATGCTGTCGAAGCAAAAGTCGGACCAGGTAAACTGCATTTAGAAAAAGGAAGAATTTTTCAAAAATATAGCGAAAAATGCAGGTGATTTATTCACTGAAAAGGTCGTGTGAATATAAAACTTGACTAATTAACTTTTATTCATGACTTTGCTAGGGTAATTGCTGTAAATTACTGGTTAATTGCCATTTACAAGTTGACAGTGAACGGAAGGCAAAAAAAGGGGTAAAAATAATGATTTTATAGAAAAAAATTGAAACGATCAAAGGAGGAAATGAAGAACTTCAGCGATGTTTGGCAGAAATTAAAGTCGGCTCGGATTCAAATATCAATAGTGAAGAACAAGTACGTATGTGGAATTCGCTGCAACGAATATTCGAAACCAAATTAAGTATTCTTCAAAATCCTGGGCTGCGTAAGTAGTGTTACTGACAATTACTTAGAAGAAATATCAAAATGCTGCTTTATACCACACGCTTTTGCTAATCTTTGTCTAATTTTTTCAAATTTAATTATAGCTTAAAGTATTCAGTTGAGCTTAGTTATTAGCGGAATTATTCTCTTGTGTAAACGTGACTAAGTTTTAGCAAGAATCTCTTTAACTTTTATAATATTAATAGAAATAATACTTGTAGTAATGAAGGAACTGTGAGAGCTTTTTCAATTTTTATGAAATTGTAGATGAATCACACAATTAATCACACAATTGCAGAGTGAGTTCATCTACAATTAGAAGAAAGGAATTGGGGCCGAAGTATTGCCGTCTGCGCCGTGAAAAGTCAGGAAACTGCTTGCAGCCAATAGAACAACTGATGTCTTTCTGCGGAAATTATATTTTTCTTTTTTTTCGGTTGTCGAAATACTCGATACTACTTACCATAACGCATAATATTTTACTATGAAAGACAGATACACGCAATGTACTTTTTTCAATGAAAAACTGGTTTGAGCACGGAATCTCAGTCACATTCTTTCAAGTGTATTGCTTCTAATCATAATCCCAACTTTCAAACAACAAAGTTTATTTTAAATCTTAGCCGGAACAGCCACCCCTCGCACTTTTTCAAAATAAATTTTCTTAAAAGGAGCACATAATATGGCTATCACTGTTTCACTTGAACCGAAAACTGTAAAAGCAACTCAAATTAGCACTAAGCTAATGAAAAGCAAATTAGTACTTATGTTGAAAAGCCTTCACTGTATACACGACGTCATTCATTCAAGCAGGTTTTTAAGTTGAAGCGTGTATAGATGAAAGTTTGGACTGTACACCTCATTCGTCGCACTTAAAACTACCTTGGATTCTTCGTCGAGAATGCAACATCAAACGAGTGCCATTCATAATTACCTTAACTTTAAAAAACTGTTAAACTTTTTCCCTCATCTTCATCTTTTTTAATCCAACCTCGTTAAGCCTCGTGGGCCTTCTTTTCTTTTTATTATAATTAAAACTCTCCATCAACTATTGATAACAGTTTTAAAAATTTTTATTTGTGAAATACGGGAAGAAATTTGCATGCTTCAGTTTTGCGAAGAAGGTTAATGACGACCGCTAAGTTTCACTTTGTTGCTGAACTTCCGCTAAAGAACTTGGAACTTGCTTGTAAATTATGAAATGAAGAAAAATTGAAGACTTTTTCTAATCATGCATTCATTCTTCTTTGTAGTAGCGTATAAAAATTAAATTGTACTAAATTCCTTAGTCGCACAAGATTCGTTCAAGCTTTCTTAACCTACAACAATAAATTTCAAAACATTAACGTTTTAAGTAATTACAAATAAGAAAACAAGTGAAGCAAGAAAGATATTAAAGAAAAACGAAATAAAAATTTAGAGATACTTAATAAAGTTCAAATTTTAAGGAATAATTGCGACAATGTAACGATATAAATATTATTAGTATTTATAATCACTCTTTTGATAAACCACCTGTGATTGATCGACTGACAGGAACAGTTTTTTAGGGAAATTATTTTAAAAACTTTTTGCGGCTTCTGAGGTAATATGAAGGCCGCAAACACAGCCGTCAGTAGAACGCTGATTAGCACCACGAAAGAAACAGCTATTTGTTTTATAGCACTATTACTCTACAATACTTTAAGGGAAACAAAATATCAGTACAACTTGAACTGCACATTGGTACTCTCAAACTGTCTTTCAGAGCGATCGACAAATTATGAACTGAATTTCAAACGTAGATGTAAACGTACAGACCTCATTGCGTGCGCATAGAACCATTGTTACCGGATTACCCAAAAGCAAAACCAGTAGAAGAGCCTTTTACCCCAATGTATCACAACTTCAATTTTTAGTCTCTTTAATATTCAATCTGGGTTCTCAGCTTATCGGCATTTGCAAGAAACGACAAAGTCATAATGCTTTTTAAACTTATTACATGTTGCCAAAATTCTTTAAAATATGTATGATTAAGTTAGACGACAATAACTTAGAAATAAATGGCTAAGTCTATTTTATACAAGTGAATCAAATTGGTACTTCGTGCCCTCATTTTGAAAACTTCACTTTAAAAAATTTTTAAATTTTGATTTAAATTTTAAAGTTTTTTGTGGGACAGATCTGCAATGCAGTATGGCCTTCTTAGTAAACTATTTCAACGCATTCTTGGTGCTTATCTGGTCAACAATTACCTTTCAAAATAAAAGAGGCTATACTAGGCAATTGAATTTCACTAAAGACCACTGCCATCAAAAATTTTGTCGAATTTTCACGATGACATTAAAGCACAATACTCTACCTCAATTAACTATCAAAACTTTCTTTCGGTTTAAAATCTGAGTATATTTCAAAGTCAAATCAGAAAAAATCAATCTTCTAAAACCCAAATACTGCATCACTTTTATTACAACCTGTTACTGACTTCTGATATAAAAGTTAATCTCTTTCAAAGAAAAAAAAAGGAATAAATGACGCACAAATTTACTACAGCGGTTTTGGCATAGTAATTATATGAGTCTTATTGAATAAATTACCATTATCAAGTTTAGAGGGGATAAGAACACTGCTGTAGGTGAGCAGAGTTTTGTACTTTAACTTAAAAACTTGGGCTTTTTTATTACCAACTTTTTACATCTTTTCTTACAACGTATTTTGCTTTTTGTCTAAAATAATTTTAAGCTGATTTAGGTTGCCCTCTACATTTGAGGAATCATGACTTCTAGAAACCATTTCATAGCTATAGGCCTAAGATTAAATTGTCAGCAATGCACAAATGCGCGATATCCAAACAAACTGTCAAGTCATATTTGGTAAAATACAGTGGTATGATTAATCGACCTCTAAAACTAAATAAAGCGTCATCTTCGAATTTAAAAAAGTTTGCAGTGGACTGTGCTCACCACTTTTTACTGGCATAAGTAAAGAAGGATGAATTTGGTAAGTAAAAAATTTGATAAGTACCGTCAATTTTAATTGCTGTAGTTTGTTCACTTTAGAAACTGAACTGTGTTGACATCAAGAGTAGCTGACATTTGTATTTTGAATTGCTAAGACAATTACCGGGCTCTGTCGTCTCCGGGACAGAACTGCATATGACGCCTGCAAAGTCAACACGAGAAGAGTAATCAAAGCGTGATAAATTTCCGGAGCTCAATCGCAGGCTTGCAAATATAAACGAATTATCAGCCGCACAGAGTTATCTTTTTACTTTATTTCCCAACCTATGATTTATACACTAGGCTGTTGTAATGCTATTAATTCGTTGATTTTGTTCGTTAGGTACATTTTCTCTTTGCTTATGAACAAATCCTGTATCTTAAATTTTATAATTTTTCGACTTTGAGGTTTTACTTTATTGGTTGATCTATTTTAAAATTATTCTGCCTTTGATCTGCTCTGGTTTCAGTCTCTTAGCTTCAAGCTATACAGTATTACAGTAGGCAAGTAGTCAACGACGCAAACGCTTTTCTAACTTATTTAACAGAATGAGCTTCGTAGTTTTTTGGCCAGATACATTTTAGTCGTAATATTCGTTCCAGTCGTAATCATTAGCAACTGCGCACAATGTCTTTTTGCCAAATAGGTTAAGGGAACAGTAACCCTCCAATAGGACAACCTGAAAAACAGTTGCCGTTCACTGCAAACGTTGAAGCATTGATCTTTGTGACGTCACTAATGTAAGGTATTATAATTTAGTATTTCCGTGGAAATTAAATCATAAGTGAAGTTCTTCAAATAGTCGTGTAATGAAGCGGATTCCTTTGGCATTAATCTAATTTTAAGATGCTGCCCCGTCAAAAACCACGGGAAATATTTTTGTTCGGTAATGATGAAGCCCTTAAACAGATTCAGGCAATAGAAGGCAGCGCTTCATTGAAAGAGTTCAGTGACGACGCTAATGGGAAGACCACTTTGCTGAGGTTTTGGATGAAATTTTTTACTTTTTGATTGTTTGAAGCTTTTGGGGGCTGAAATCAGGTCTTCAGTGCTCGAAGAAAACGACGATTCAGAGTGCAGTGATTGGATGAATAAAGAAAATAAGGCATGCTTTCAAAAAATTACCTTCTTCAGCTTCTGCTATGTAACTTCTGTTTGCGACGAGATCGGTATGGTAAATTTTTTTTTTTTGCAAGTAAGTTTACTTAATTATTAACCTTGTAATTTCTTTAGGAAAGCTTTTGTTCAAGTTATACCTGTACTGAGGAATTCACTAAAAGCCATTTATTCGCAGTCTCATTCGCAGCTAACAGTTCCATTCACTTGAAGACCTGCGAAGTAAGCATTTATTCTTGTTTCATCTCTAGCCACAGAATAACCATCTACTAGGTGACATTCGAGGCATACTATAATATTGGCAATTGTTTGAAATGCCATAAGTTTACCAAAGATGGACATGCTAAACTGAAGATTTGGGAGGTGGAGGTGCGGGGCACTTTTGAGATGTCTTACGGAATTCTTTTTATCACTTTTAGATTGATAAACCAATACCTGGATAAAATTATCAGAGAAGTCTCAAATAGGAGTGCGGAGCAGATTAGAGCGGTTGCTCTTTTTGTAGCTTGCAATTTCTAGGTCGGTTTTTGATAAAAATCAGTTTGAGTTTTTTGACGTCAGAATGTTCGTTACAGTTCAAAGGTTCAAAAGTGGCGTCTTCCAACAGTTCATGAGTTTCTTTACACGTGTGGAAATGCTTTAACGCTTGATGGGTTTTCCAAGTAAGTTTACTTAACTATTTACTTTTTGATTTCTTTAGGAAAGCTACTGTTTAAATTACAGCTGTATTGGAGGGTCTCCTGAAAGCCATTTGTTCGCAGTCAGGAAAGTGAGGTCAGAATTAATTAATCTGTTGATAAAAAAGAGGTGTTAAAAACTGTTACGATTTTGGGTTCTTTGTGGCTTCTCATTTCCTTTACCACTTTTATTAGGTGACTTTAATTTTGAAACTCTATAGATTTGACATCTGTTTCTTTGAAATTTCCCTTAAAATTCTTAAAATCGTACAGTTGCCGTCATTACAATTTAAATGCGCGTTTCTTCAAGCAGTCGAAATCTTTCTGAGCAAGTTTTTTTCTGGCCTAACTCATTTCTTCTTCTATTTTTTGTTTGTGGGGTTATTTAAGGCAGTGCGGATAGACCTGACAACTTTGACCGTAGCGCGTTATTATCTAGAGACCTGTATATTGTTTTACAATTACATGCGTGTTTGTGGTAACCTTATGGCTTTAGCATGTTTACTACCAGCTTTACGAGTGAAAGACTTGTGCGAATAGGCGGGGTGATTGATGCAGGTTTTGTTTTAAGAATTCAAGTAGATGGTTTGATAAAATATTTTTTTTAAGCTTTACTTAAAACGAGAATTTTTATTTGTGTTGTAGCGTCCAAGTCTGCGCGAATGCAGCGGATATCGGGTGCCGGACGTTGAAGCCTTGATGCGAACAATCACTCTTGCAGTGGCGACCTATCAAAAAGTGTGTCCGCGCCTGCGTTCTATCTTTTGCAAATGTAGCAGAGTCTATGTTATTTCTTAGTTTCTTAATTTTCAGCTGCTCGTTCTATAGGCTTTGACCTGTTCATTTCATAAACGGTTCTTTAGTAAGAATTTTGGTGTTGCTCGTTTACGCTTTTTAAGGGAAATCTTTCACCCCACAAAGGCTGTTGGACCGTCTGTGAAATGGTCATTTGACGCTTAGAAGGTTCATATGTGGATTTAATTATTTGGTATTCGAGGAATCCGCTAGCTGGATTTCTCATTTTCACGAATTCAGATGTGGAGATATACTAGGTTGGGTTCCCGTTGGCTTTTCACTGTTTTTTCACCAACATGTTATGGCTGAGTTGTTCTGACTAGTTGAATTTTCGTACTCAGTTAAACTTCTCTGTTTTCGTCTCAGTTCTCTGCTTTTTTGTTGTTCAAAGGTGCGGGACGTCTAGGAAAGCATTCAAGGTCTTTTTTTGAAAAAATAATTGTTTCTGATGGTTAGGTAAATATTTGAAATTGTTTTTTACCAATATTCTTTATTTTCTTTCTCTTATTCTAGTACTTGTGATTTTTTCATACATATGTGTATAAGCTTCGTCACTTCCAACTTGGTGTGAAAGTTTTTTTCGCGGTAGGATGAGTGGTACAGTAGTCAGATCGGCTTATATCTTATCAAAAGTTCTGACCTACGTTTACAGTGGGCGTTGTTTAGCTGGTTTATTTTTGGAGATCAGCAGTTTTTTTGAAACCATTTGATTCCTCAGATCTGTGGCTATTAATTTATTGCTACTTCATGTTGATCTGTAGCGTCGTTGTCGAGATGTTTGCCGAAGTGTGACGTTGAAGTTCATTTTAAAATTGC